TATGGTTTATTGTGCCGGTAAACTCATAGAAAACTTAAAGTCATTTTATAAAAGCAATAGACCACACTTTCTACGGGTTTACCTGCGTGACAACCCACTTCAGGGTTGGGATGTTGGGAAAATTCGGCTCGTGATTTACAGGCTTTTCTCGTGTTCTTCCAAGAGGGGGGAGGTACAGGAGGGTAAATGTCCCTGCTCCCTACTTTTTCAGCCAATTTCTCTTTCCGCCCGTCTTTTTCACTTAAGAAAGCGCTCAAAAATAGGGTACTTTACCATGGGGAAAATTGTAATAGAGGGCAATTAATGTCACTGCAGAATACCACGTCTTAATATCGTATATAATCGACTCTCTAAGGCTCACACACTATTTTATCACGCATTACACGAAAAAATCTAAGGTTTTTTAGTGATATGTCATGAGCTATTCTCTTAGTTTCTGAGAGGTGACCTTGCAGTATTTCGTATCCGTGGTGTAGTTAACGTGCTAATCTGTCATCGAACCACTATGTTGCAGCAATGGCTAAAAGACCCTAAAATCATTCTCGCGTTACCAATCTGGATTTATCCTTTAGAATTGCCTCTCAGTCCCATTGTTTTTATCAGAAAGTGGTTTAGTGACGGGTTTATAGATAATTGAGACCATTGGCCGTAGACCTTACTTGATCTATCTTTCTTGGAGTGGTCTCAAAAGTTACTAAAGTTAATGACCTAAGGCAGGCTTGACCTTCGTTCATGCAATCTACTTTTTATTACATCAAGGCTTAATGCCAAGTCTGATAGTTTTGTTTCATGGCATCGAGAACCTGGTGCCACAGCTGTTGATGCTTTCAGTATTACCTGGGCTAATTTTAATTGTTACGCTTCTCCTCAGTTTTCGTCAGCTGTCTCGAGTTTCGGCCAAAGACAAAGGTAACCAAAACGTATACTAAGCCGTCTTCGCCATCTCTGTACGGTTTTATCTGCACTCACTCGCAAGAAAGGCACTGATGTTAGAAAGACTCTTTCTACTCACTGCACCGTCTTCTTAACGTCTGTTGGCTCGGATCTCAATGACGGAATAAAAACAAAATAGCGCTGTCACTTACTTAGCAGCGGAATGAAGTGAAATACCCATTTAACTTAGTAGATCTCATGGATGGAGTCTTTCCTTCAAAAGAACCTTTTTCAAATAATGAATATCTGATTTTGGGTGCGACTTTTTTAGGTACGCACGCTTGCGTATTTTGCCTCTGCTAATTCTAATCGTGTTAATATATATATATATATATATCTGCTAAGGGGATATCCTATCACGGCAGATGCGCAGGTGAAAATGTTAAGATAATCAAAGTGCAAGTGTTCAGTAGATAATATAAAAAGATACTGATAAAAAGGTCCGGGGTCAGCGTTTTTAAAGATGGTATTTGTCGGCCATTTTCACAGACTGCTTTTCAATGACACCATTTGGTGAGAGTTCTAGTCTGTGTTTGTACGTTCAATAAGACTGTGTTGGTCCTGGTTTTGGCACTCACTCGATAAATTTCGTAGGATAGAATTGCCTAGTGCCCTGTCGCCTTTTAAATAATATATAGGGTGGAAATGTATAAAATCTTGTTGTGAGTCGTGCCACTTTCCCTCTCGGTACCACTTCGGTGAATAATTGTTTAGTATTGTTATTCGCGGCCACGTCCTTAACATCCGATCGCGTGATGTCCCCTAATGGTTGTTTTTTCCACAGTTGTGAATACCTTTGTGTTAGAATGAGGACAATGCGTGGTGTTAAGTTGTGGGGGGGGGGGGGGGTGGGGGGAATCGGAGGTTGTGTGCTTTTTTGAAAAGGGGGGGTATTCGGGGCTACGGGGCTTGCCAAGACGAGGGGGAGCCGGCGTACACAAATTGTAGGGTCGAGGACACCCGAGGGGACAGAGAAACACACGAGTGTATAGTTTTTGGGGGGGGGGGGGGGGGGTTGGCGGAATTCGAAGGTGTGTGCTTTTTTGAAAAGGGGGCGTAATTCGAGCTATGAGGCTTGCACAGACGACGTGGAGGCTGCGTATCAACATTTGAATGTCTAAGGTACCCGAGAGGACAAAGAAAAACCAGCATGTTCAGTTTTTACGCCACCATTGCAATAGGGCAGTTTTTCCCAGTTAATTTCGCGTTTCCCCGATAAAAGTGAACGAAGGCAACCAGAACAGGGGTGAAAAATTCAAAAGTAGCAGAAGATATTTGGTTTAATTATCTTTATCTGAAACTCAGGTTCATATTTGCTTGCACGAACTATATTAAAAGCACTGCCATTACATCAGATCATGTAGTATCCATTACACAAACTAATACATTATTAGACAAAGTATTACTTACGCTAACACACTCATTACAATTTTAATTTTATTACATTTTAAGACAGGAATTGTTAAATATACAGTATTGGATAGGTAATGTTAAATACAGGTTGTCAACTTAGCTGAGTTATATCTACTTTACAATATGCATGATGTTAATTTTTGAAGAAATTCAGATAAACACTTCAGACAGCGTTTATCAAAAACCTCCCCCTTACCTCACCCCTTAAGAACGTGCATTATCTGGGATGATTTCCAAGGAAATAAGGAAATAAGAAGACTGAGAGAAGCAATGATACTTTAATATCGAGAAAAGGCAAGATGCTGATTGCCAGCTGCCTAATCTGGAGTTAAACCGTTGGGAGTCAATATTAAAATATTGTAACTGCATGTCATAAGAATTCCATGCGTTTGCATTGCTTTCGAGGCGAACTGGATCTGGTTTCGGAGCGAACATGAAGGCCGAAGGAGATGCCAGTGAGCGGACGCGAAATTCTATGGTAACGAGATCTAGAGGAGCTATTGAATTAAAACCGCATAAACCCATTGTGGTTCGAAAGCAAATCAGAACAATAAGCTTCAATCGAGTGAACCATCTATTTCTCAGTTCTCTCAGTTTCTTTTTTTGTTTTTTCTTAGACACCTGCGGGCACAAAATGGATAGCGCTCGAGACGCAAGCTTTTAATTCTCATTACTGTGGTAAAATTATTTTACAAGCTTAATTTCAGATTAAAACAATTTTTATTTACTTCAGTTCCCACCGGTTTATCACTACAGTTTCTTTAAAAGTCAATGCCTTTATTACTGAACTCAACAGTTGCAGCTTGGTATAAATTTATAGAATCAATAGCTTACAACCCACTATTCCACATTCTTTATGTGGCTTATCCATTATCAACTGCTTTACATTATATATTAAGTTATATACTTTAACCAAATCTCATTCACGTTAAACGCAAAGAAAAATCTCGACCCTCAAGGCAACCAAGAGCACAGTTGAGGATTGAGAATGAAAAGTTACAAGATCGGGTAACTCTACTTGAAGTTAACGAAGTTGATGCGCGTTCGGCAAGTGTACGGAATCGCGAGATCGAAAGCGTATTAGTCATGGAAATAAAGGTTACTAAACACCCTATGCATAACAAAGCATGAAATAATTGATAACGGCGACGGAAGGTTAACAAGAGCGCAAAAACATTCATGTAAATACATAGTGTTAAAAGATACACCATTAAACAAGTCGGTATAAATTTGGTTTACAACATCATGGTGACAGCTAGAGGCCCTTTTTAGATTTACAGGAGGTCGGTTTTGCGCGAAGCTCGCAAAATCATTTAAGTGTTTGCTATAGCGCGCGTTCGAAGTAATCAGTAGTAAGTTTATAATGAAGATTAACGCGAGCCGAAGTAGTCAACGATAGTGGTCGAAAGTACCCCAAAGGATTGCGAGGGTGCTCATTAACATTATAGTGTTCACAAGTTGGCGATAACGCGCGTTCCAAGTAATGGTATAAGTCTCTATAAAGACTAACGCAAGCCGAAGTAGTCAGTGATAGTGGTCGAAAGTTACCGAAAGTACCCCGAAGGATTGCGAGGGTGTTCATTAACATTATAGTGTTCACAAGTTGGCGATAGCACGCGTTCGAAGTAATGGTACGTCTCTATGAAGATTAACGCAAGTCGAAGTAGTCAGTGATAGTGGTCGGAAGTTACCGAAAGTACCCCGAAGGATTGCGAGGGTGTTCATTAACATTATAGTGTTCACAAGTTGGAGATGGCGCGCGTTCGAAGTAATGGTAAGTGTCTTTGAAGATTGACGGAAGCTGAAGTAGTCAATGATAGTGGTCGAAAGTTACCGAAAGTACCCCGAAGGATTGCGAGGGTGTCCATTAACATTATAGTGTTCACAAGTTGGTGACAGCGCGCGTTCCAAGTAATGTCTCTATGAAGATTGAAGCAAGTCGAAGTAGTCAATGATAGTGGTCGAAAGTTACCGAAAGTACCCCGAAAGATGACGAGAGTATTCATTTTGACAAACGCATATAGCCATTTACGATAGCGCCGGTTCGTAGAAATGGTAAGTAAACATGAAGATTTAACGCAGGCCGAAGAAGTCAACGATAGTGGTCAAAAGTTGCCGAAAGTATCCCCGAAAGATGGGGACAGTGTTCATTTCACTGAACGCAATTTTGTAAAGGCATTTAAGCGTTTGCCATAGCGCGTGTTCGAAGTTATGGTAGGTTTAGTATATGAAGATTAACGCAAGCCGAGGTAGTCAACGATAATGGTCGAAAGTTACCGAAAGTACCCCCAAAAATGGCGAGAGTGTTCATTACAGTCATTTAAGCGTTTAGGAACACGAAGATTAACGAAAGCCGAAGAAGCCGACAATAGTACTCGCAAGTTACCAACACTGCCCCAAAGGTTGGCGAGAGCCCATCATATTTCTCGATCAACATTAACGATATTTTAAATAAACCTATCCTTAATAATTTCAGAACAAAAGAAAAGCCCAGTTGCCCAGTAGCAGTCGTTTCCGTAAGAAGGAAAGTCCTTCTTCGAAAATGTTGACTGCTACTGTAGCAGAATTCTACAAAGTTTTATTTAGCTTTTATATTACTGGAAAAAAAATATTAGATTAAGTTTCTTAAGTATTTCATCTTGATCGCTACATCTTCACTTTGGCTGTATTGTAAGACGCAGGCACTTCTTCTGATGTCCAACTTGAGAAACACGTCCTAAAACAGAAGAAAATGCAATGTTTCTCAGTAGACTGTAGAAAAGGAGAAATTTGAGTACTGGTCATTTTGTGCCCTTGTTTTTCGCGTTGGTTAGTTATTTAAGTGATTTACAGTCTAACAGTCCGCTATTTTTTGGACCGCCCCAGCTCGAACCCAGTTGTAAAAACTGGGCTATCCAATTCTTCTCAAGAGATAACGTACCTTTCATTGTTGGTGTTTTTTCATCAGCTAGTACAGGTTTCACCAGATGACGATTTTGCAATCTTGGTACACTATAAAAGTGTAATTTGAAAAAAAACCTGAACTCAGTAAATATAACGACCAAAGTAAATGTCTGTTAGCAAAATACAAATAAAGCATCTCAATGTAAAAAATTCAGGTACTTCTGCCACACCCAACACCATTTTGGGGTTTAACCGTACTTTTTGCAATAAGCACATATAAGAAACTTATATTACTGATTTCCGTTTGCAGTAGGGATAAATGAGTTCATTTCAGTCGTTCACTTCTTTGTTCTCTATTCTCTCACTAGCAAACGACGCCGGGTACTACTCTTACGATGTTGTGCTCTTATTCTAGAGTATATCAATCCGAACTCCTCGAGCTCCTCCTGGTGCTCGATATGTAGGCCTAAGGAGAAAACTATCCATTATACCTGAAGCGTAGAAAACGCCTCCCCACGTGATGAACAAAATTAACCGGGTAGATTCAATCTAGAAAATAAAAAAGCTAAAGAAAAAGAAACAAGCGCTTAGAGGATGTTACCAACAGACTTAAATTGAACTGATACAACCTATTTTGATTTGCAACGATAAGGGATATAGATAAGAAATGAAGTTTAACGCCCACTAAAAATATCTGACCATCAGCAGATATTCTTAGTGGGCCGAGACATAAAAAATCATATCAATAAAGACAAGTCGACTCTCACTGAACCCTCAAACAGCATTTTCCCTGTAACAACAACTGCGCAAGTCGTAAAGTTACACTATAAATACAATAAATTCATTTCCGACGTCTCCACTTAGATATATATAAAGCGTCCAGCAAAAGCCTTGTTATAACCTGCAAAGATATAACAGTGGAGAGTCAAGCACTTAAATAATTTCAAGGTTCAAATCTATGTTTACTAAGTGAAATATACAATTTGAATCATTACAGTTATCTTTTTATGGTATCTAATCATCTCATGGTATATCAGTAATAATAATAATAACAATAACAATTAAAATAATAATAATAATTCTACTAATAGTTTATTTAACAGATCAATGAAGTGTCTCTTCCATGTTAAATGAAATTATACGCAATTAAAAATAAATTAAATTCCAGTGAAAAAAGTTCTCTCCTCAAATGAAATGATAGTAACTGCAAATCCCATTAGCCCTAGTTAAGAGCAGATATCAGGCAAAAACATTAAGGAGTTCTCATATCTTCTCAAGTGGAAACTTTCTAAGGGTATATCTCATTCGTCCTATAGTTAACACCAGAATTCGGGCGAATACAATTCGGTGTTCTTCTTCTCAGACTAGGAAGCTCCTACCTCCCTTGCTTGCTGGGTTGGAATCCCAGTTAACCTAATTTTAATAGTAAGTAATAACTACGATAGACTGAAGTATCAGTCCTGGGAGCTCCTGACTCCATTGCTTGCTGGTTTGGAGTCCCAGTTTCTCTAATTTTAATAGTAAGTAATAACTTTGATAGACTAAAGTATCAGTCCAGGGAGCTCCTGACTCCCTTGCTTGCTGGGTTGGAATCCCAGTTTATCTAGGTTTACAAGTAAGTTTCATCTATTATTGACTGAAGTATCAGTCCAGGGAGCTCCTGTCTCCCTTGCTTGCTGGGTTGGAATCCCAGTTTACCTAATTTTAATAGTAAGTAATAACTACGATAGACTGAAGTATCAGTCCAGGGAGCTCCTGACTCCATTGCTTGCTGGGTTGGAGTCAAAGTTTCTCTAATTTTAATAGTAAGTAATAACTTTGATAGACTAAAGTATCAGTCCAGGGAGCTCCTGACTCCCTTGCTTACTGGGTTGGAATCCCAGTTTATCTAGGTTTACTAGTAAGTTTCATCTATTATTGACTGAAGTATCAGTCCAGGGAGCTCCTGTCTCTCTTGCTTGTTAGGCTGGAATCCCAGTTTATCTAGTTTTAATAGTAAGTTTCATCTATAATTGACTGAAATATCAGTCCAGGAAGCTCCTGTCTCCCTTGCTTGCTGGGTTGGAATCCCAGTTTATCTACTTTTAATAGTAAGTTTAATGTATTATTGACTGAAGTATCAGTCCAGGAAGCTCGATCCTGTCTCCCTTGCTTGCTGGGTTGGAATCCCAGTTTATTTAGTTTAAATAGTACGTTTCATATATTATTGACTGAAGTATCACTCCAGAGAGCTCCTGTCTCCCTTGCTTGCTGGGTTGGAATCCCAGTTTATCTACTTTTACTAGTAAGTTTCATCTATTATTGACTGAAGATAGTCAGGTCCCTCGAGGACAGAGGGAACGAACGACCCAACCTTAGGGTCAAATAGATGAAAATTATCATTCAAAGTAGATAATAACTGACTTCATTCACTCCAGGGAGCTCCTGTCTCCCTTGCTTGCTGGGTTGGAAACCCAGTTTATCTAGTTTTAATACTAAGTTTTATCTATTATTGACTGAAGTATCAGTCCAGGGAGCTCCTGTCTTCCTTGCTTGCTGGGTTGGAATCCCAGTTTATCTACTCTTAATAGTAAGTTTCATCTATTATTGACTGAAGTATCAGTCCAGGGAGCTCCTGTCTCCCTTGCTTGCTGCGTTGGAATCCCAGTTTATCTAGTTTTAATACTAAGGTTTATCAATTATTGACTGAAGTATCAGTCCAGGGAGCTCCTGTCTCCCTTGCTTACTGGGTTGGAATCCCAGTTTATCCACTTTTAATAGTAAGTTTCATCTATTATTGACTGAAGTATCAGTCCAGGCAGCTCCTGTCTCCCTTGCTTGCTGGGTTCGAATCCCAGTTTATCTAGTTTTAATAGTAAGTTTTATGTATTATTGACTGAAGTATCAGTCCAGGGAGCTGCTCTCTCCCTTGCTTCCTGGGTTGGAATCCCAGTTTATCTAGTTTTAATAGTAAGTTTCATCTATTATTGACTGAAGTATCAGTCCAAGGAGCTCCTGTCTCCCTTCCTTGCTGGGTTGGAATCCCAGTTTATTAAGTTTCAATAGTAAGTTTCATCTATTATTGACTAAAGTATCAGTCCAGGGAGCTGCTGTCTCCCTTGCTTGCTAAGTTCGAATCCCAGTTTATCTAGTTTTAACACTAGGTTTTATCTATTATTGACTGAAGTATCAGTCCAGGGAGCTCCTGTCTCCCTTGCTTGCTGGGTTTGAATCCCAGTTTATCTAGTTTTAATAGTAACTTTCATCTATTATTGACTGAAGTATCAGTCCAGGGAGCTGCTGTCTCCCTTGCTTGCTAAGTTCGAATCCCAGTTTATCTAGTTTTAATAGTACGTTTTATCTATTATTGACTGAAGTATCAGTTCGGGAGCTTCTGTCTCCCTTGCTTGTTGGGTTGGAATCCCAGTTGCCCTAAGTGCATATTACTTTGAAAATCAGTGATAATCTTCTTAGAGCAACAACTCTTTCCAAGAAAATCTGAAATTATACCTAAAATAACTGAGATTTTTTTTATTTAAACAACAACCAAAAAAAAATTAAAAACTTGAAAAAACCCGTTTCGTTACAGAAGCTGAGATATGCTATGACCTAAAGAAAAGGGTGTATGGCCTGTGCAGTATCCGAGACGCACGTGAGTGCAACGGCCATATAAATTGGGGGACCTCCGCTTGCGTCCATACCGGGACACCTGGGCATGAGCGCTTACAACAGACTTGTTTCGTGACAGAAGCTGAGATATGGCATGACCCGATGAGCGGTACACCGCTACGGCCCATGCAGTATCACTCGTAAAGCTCTGCACCACTGCAGAATGAGTCAATAAGCACTTGAGTGCAACGGCCGTTTTCTTATCAGGTGCCCAATACATCACCTGTCGGTCAGAGGCGACCACCCAGACCTCGGTGTAACTGATGGCTCAGTACCACTCTCACCGCATAAGTAGACAAGCACCCTGTGGAACGCACGAAACCCTCCACCTGGCTTGAGGCCACTGTATTGGCAACAATAGGCCAACTTTGTTTTTGGAATCCCCTTTTTCTACTTACGGCTGCTATTAAATTTATTGAAAGAATTGCTGCTGCTCGAACATTATAATACTATAAATAATAATTAAAGCTAAGATCTAATGCACTTCATTTAGTTCTAGAATTAGGGTATTAAAGGTTCTACTACATGCATAATAGACTGTAGTATCACTCCAGGAATTACTTATCTTGCTTGCTGCGTTGGAATTCCAGAGAATGGTTTCTTTTACCAGTAAGTTTCATCTCTCATTGACTAAAGTATCAGTCCAGGGGGCCCCTGTCTCCCTTGCTTCCTGGGTTGGAATCCCAGTTTGTCTAGTTTTAATAGTAAGTTTTATCTATTATTGACTGAAGTATCAGTCCAGGGAGCTCCTGTCTCCCTTGCTTGCTGGGTTGGAATCCCAGTTTATCTAGTTTTAATAGTAAGTTTTATCTATTATTGACTGAAGTATCAGTCCAGGGAGCTCCTGTCTTCCTTGCTTGCTGGGTTGGAATCCCAGTTTCTCTAATTTTAACAGTAAGTAATAACTATGATAGACTGAAGTTTTAGTCCAGGGAGCACCTGTCTCCCCTTGCTTGCTGGGTTGGAATCCCAGTTTATCTAGTTTTAATAGTAACTTTCATCTATTATTGACTGAAGTATCAGTCCAGGGAGCTCCTGTCTCCCTTGCTTGCTGCGTTGGAATCCCAGTTTATCTACTTTTAATAGTAAGTTTCATCTATTATTGACTGAAGTATCAGTCCAGGGAGCACCTGTCTCCCTTGCTTGCTGGGTTGGAATCCCAGTTTATCTACTTTTAATAGTAAGTTTCATCTATTATTGACTGAAGTATCAGTCCAGGGAGCTCCTGTTTCCCTTGCTTGCTGGGTTGGAATCCCAGTTTATCTAGTTTTAATAGTAACTTTCATCTATTATTGACTGAAGTATCAGTCCAGGGAGCTCCTGTCTCCCTTGCTTGCTGGGTTGGAATCCCAGTTTCTCTAATTTTAACAGTAAGTAATAACTATGATAGACTGAAGTTTCAGTCCAGGGAGCACCTGTCTCCCTTGCTTGCTCGGTTGGAATCCCAGTTTATCTAATTTTAATAGTAAGTAATAACTATGATAGACTGAAGATTCAGTTTAGGGGGCTCCTGTCTCCCTTGCTTGCTGGGTTGGAATCCCAGCTTTCCTAATTTTATTAGTAAGTAATAACTATGATAGACTGAAGATTCAGTCCAGGGAGCTCCTGTCTCCCTTGCTTGCTGGGTTGGAATCCCATTTTATCTAGTTTTAATAGTAGGTTTAACTATTACAGACTGAAGTTTCAGTTAAGGGAGCTCCTGTCTCCCTTGCTTGCTGGGTTGGAAATCCTAGGTTATCTAATGTTTTTAAAATAGTAAGTTAAAAATAGTAAGTCCCATCTATCATAGACTAAGGTATCAGTCCAGGGAGGGGCATTACTTTCTTTGTGTTTTCAGACTGTTATCTGGCATAGAACCTTTATGCATAACCACTGCCAATGGGGAGAGTTTATTAACTTTATATAAATGTTATGTATTATGTCATAGTTTAGAGAACACCTGTCTCCCATTTTCGTTGAGTTGGAATCCCAGTTGACCTTATAAATTGTAAATTGCTTTTTATAAATATCAGAGTTTTTATGTATTCTAATACTTCAAGGAAGATACTTAGGAGCCATAATTTGTTAAGTCACTAAATAAAGATTGGGATTGCGGTTGTTACAAGCTCCAAGCTCTTACCGTTTTAAGAATATCCTGGTTTAGTTGATTCAGCACTGAACAATTAATGACTGTACTTCTGTTAGATTGTTATTCGATTGTTACCTACATGAGTGAAGAAGACAAAAAAAATTAGTTAAAGCATAACAAAATGATGAAGTCAGATATGATTTGTTGAAATACTCTTTATCTGGCAGTCAAAATTTTATTGTGATAGGTTTTTGAAATCAGTGAGTACCTATCACAAGTTAGGTTCCCTAGCCTTAGCTAGTACATAATATCCCTAACCATGATTGTGTTATCTAATTTAAAGTGAGGAAAATTACTGGCACATAATTAAGATTTTTCAAATCGTTTTGTTTTGGGGGCC